GTCCTAAATGGCATTTGCTGTAGTCGGTGCCAAGTCCAGCTAAGAGCAGGTGACTTCTGACTGCACAGTGAATAGCAGGAGATCTCCGAGGGGAGTCTGGAGAGATTACTGAGAGAAAAAGCTTGGATGTGTAAACAGAGAAGAGCTGGAATAGTTCCAGGAGAATCTTTCTTCGTATTGGCCGTGTTGTTGTCTTCCTTCTTCCCTTTAGAGCTTTGCTGTATTGTTATCATTGCCAGGCAAGCTCTCTCTTCTAACAAAGGCTGAAATTTGTGAGAAGCAGGGATGCTGTTATCTGTTTCTGAGGGACTCAGGGTCTGTGTTTTGTCAGGAACATAGGCATAGTGTGCTGGGGTGAGGGAGACTAACCATACTGAGAGCAAGTAGTCATCATCAAGGGAAAAATGTCTGCTTTGGTTTTTCCAGAGAACTTCAGGCAGGGGCAGAACAGTTTAGCAAGACTTTTTAGGACTCAGTCCAGCACTAGTGAAAATAATTGTCATTTCGTCACTGATTATAAAACACCAAGATCAGGCCTATAATTAGCTACTTATTGTTCTTTCTCTGCTCTGTCCTCTGCCACTTCAGTCTGGGCCTGATCCAAAGTCTTTGAAAATTAAAATCTTCAGATTAATTTGATGGAGCTGTGGTCCAGGCCTTCCAGCTAGAGGGCTGTTGTTTGTTTGGCAGTCAAAGTGCAGGGGCATCAATGGGAACAGCTTTATGAATCACTGTAAATAGGAGCTGTGACAACATGTTTTATTACATTTGTGTGCTCTAAACTTTTATTTTTGCTTTTTTGGGTGGAGCAGATTGGAATATCTAGAAAACATTTGGGAGATTGGAGTCTGTCCTTTTTGTTTTCAAATCTAATCTGAATATAAATTACCAGCCTTGACTTTTTGCTAATTGCTTACAAGTAACAGCTTGGGAAGCAAAAAAATAATTAATCACTGTATTTGTTTGTATAAGAACTAAAACTGTTTTCTCTGGGAATTAATTTTCTAGCCCAAATCTGCTTACCACCTGTGCTTTCTTCTACTTTTTATATATAATTGAAATGTAAAATCAACAATAAAAAGAAACAAACAGCCAAGGGATCGTCTGTTCTGGATAAGGAATTGCCTCATTAATGCATGTATATGTTATTTCTGAGTGTGTGCGCATGCTTGCTAAAAATAATTATTCTACTGTAAATCCTCTGCAGCAAGGAGTGGACTAATGGAGATCCTCCAGATCTCTCTGTGTTCCGAGGTTAATCTTTCTAAATGAGATTCTCTGTGTGGCTGCCAAATTCACCCTACGTAATATTTAAATCCATGATGCAGAAAAAGAAAATGGGTTTGAAGGAGCCTTATCTTAAGTTTCTCAATAATTAGTATTCTAAGTGTCTAATTTTAAGGAGGGCTGTGATTCTATGTAAATATTCTAGGATTTGAGATAAGACTTTGGAAAAACTGGATGCATTATCCAGTGCTAGAAAAAATTAATATAGCTTCCTCTACCTTTCCAATAGATGCAGTTATGTCCTGGTTTAGTTTACACTGGTTAAACTTGGGAATAGTTGGGCTGTTTTGAAATCAACTTAAGTCCTACTATATGCCAGCTCTCTGTTTTCATATGCAAATATCTGTGTATCCAAGTAAGGTCTTAGCAATGGATCAGTGCCTTTGCTTGGATCCTGAGATGCAGTATTTTGGAGTGTCTTTCAGAACAATGTTTTTCTGGAATTAGTCACAGCACTTGGAAGTTGTTAGTGCTTTTTGAACATCAGCACTATCACTGCGTGCTATTATTCTTTAAATGACCTAAGGATGAGGAGCTGAAGTATATGTTGGGGGGGGGGGAGGGATGGGGGGAAGGGGGAGGGCATCATCAGTTTTTTCAGAACATTGGCATGATTAGAAGACATGAATAGAAGTTCTGCCTGATTTGGATGGCAATCAAGGTAAATACAAAGTGACAGTCTTACCATTTCCTTTATCTTGGAAAGGGATGAAGAGAGGTGTCTAATTCTTTGAATATAAAAAGCCAAATTATTTGAAGTCTGTCTTGGAGAGCACAGCACAGTAATTGGCTTAGTTGCCAAGAAGAGTCTAAGAGAAAGAGACCCAATTAGAGCACGTGTCTGTGAGTTGGTCTGTTCTTGGAACAGATTATAGCAAAATATTGATGACTTTTCACTGTTCTGGGCTGAGTTAAATGGAAGTGCCCGAGAAGGGAGGCTCAATAGGAATGAAGCTTATACTTTAATTACAGAAAGCCTCTTCTTCTGACACTGAGCATGAGTGTACTTGGGTGAGTGGGAAGGAATTAAATGGTGCCCATGAGCACACAGGCTGATGGATAGGAATCCCTGGCTGTTAGCTCACTGAACAAGAAACCATGTTGCTGAATTGAAAGCAATAGCTAGATGTATTCTGGGATTTTTAAGTATAAAGTATAAACAAAGAGGAGCACAAACTCACTGGGGAGTACTTGCTTACTGAACCTTAGAACAAGCAAAAGTGGACTGTTTCTGTCCACTGCAGCCAGGAAAACAGAAGGAAAACCTAGGAGTCACCTACAAGACCCCAAAACTTCACAAATCACAGCTGTAGCACTCCATGAAAGAAGTGAAAGAATCCTATGTGATACTTACTTCCTTACATATCAGCGCTTCATGAAATTCTACCTTTGGAAAGATCTCCAGATTTCAGAAATACAGTATCTCTTGAAGACCTTGTTAAGGTCAGCAGCTGCAGTTTAATTCTCAAGATTAAAAATCACAGGGAAATTTAAAGACAGTATAGAAGGTGACTCTCAGAAGTTTAGGTCTGTTTGTCTCCAGTTGCCTGTTTGCAGTTCTCAAAGCCCTGGATTAGGGCATTCAGAGTTGGGAACCAATATCCCTATGAACACCGGAGCCTATTCTCCATGTGTCTGATTACAATTTACTCTCATGTACTCTACTGGAACCCAACACACTGGCAAACTACAAAAAAAATGATCTCTACTAGTAACAGTGCCTATACAGAATATGTACTAGATCAACTGTTCTACAAAGTCTTGAAAGAGTTCCTGGATGAAGAAGGGAGAGAGGAGTGTGTGAGTTATTACAAGAGCACAGCAGACTTTTATGCAGTTATATTGTAAAGAGCTTGCAACAAGCTTTCCAGCACAGGAAATCAAACCTCTTTTCCTGAGGGGTTAAGAAAGGTTTTAATTCTATATACTGATAGGCTGTAATTGAGAGGGTTAAATGGCATGCCTAACCTGTGATATTGAGTAGGAGTCTGAGAAGAACTGAGTTATCAGTACTTTATTCAAATTTGAAGAAAAGTTCAGATTTAATCAAATTTTATTATTCTGCCTTATCTTTAAAAAGAAAAAAAAATAGTATGTAAAAAAATGTGCAGTTTTCAGACTGCTGCACATCTGATAGAAGGAATGATGGGCTGTAGTATCCCTGATAGCAGTGGACTTAGTTTGACATCCCAGAGGCCCTTATTTCTTTCCTATGTCATTCAGTCATTAGCATGCTTACCTGGAGTGTCTGATTGCAGTTCAGTGTTAACATGTGCTCAGAAGGATTTGAAGATGTGTCTGAACAATAAGCCCTCAGGTACTAGGCTAAAGTATAGAAATGGCTGTCGATTTCCATTACATAGGCTACTGCAGTTATCTAAGAAACTGGATATTAATGTAACTGGAAAAATATTTTGCCTAGCAAGTCATGAGATACTTGAGAATGGAACCTACATCTGGTGACTTGAGCCCAACTTGGTTTCTAGTTGAAGAAATTATGCTCCTTTCAAATGAAATTAAAAAAAAAAAAAAAAATCCAACAGCTGATACTATGGAAGTTTTGGACATCCTTAACTAGTTAGACTGGAGCAGATCTGTAAAGTATGCAAATCTTTAGATATTTGAAAACATCCTCTGGCAGTAAGGAATCCTGTTGGCTTGTTTCTGTGAAAGGTACTTCCTGGAGCATAACAAAAGAAAAAGCTGAAGTCTCGCTGCAGACCTCTGTCCATATAACTGTTGAAATCCCAGCATTGCAGCTCCTGTAGAGAATGCCTGCTTCTTAGCAAAAGCACTTAACTGATAACTTCAAGAGTGATATCTTGTTCAGCAGTATGCATTTAATATGTGTTCACCTCAGTTGTTGATGATCTCATATGCGACATCTAGATGCCATTGCCTCCAGGCCAGTCACTGGATAGAGCTGATGGCAAGAGTGAAATGCCTCAGGTTCTGAATATATTCACTCCATAGTGAATTGTAGTTGTCTTATTAAGAGACAAGAATGGTCTTGAATAAGTGGATTATCATACTTTCACTAAATGGTGGGTGATGAAAATAATTGCAGCGTAAGGATAATGTTATTTCTTACAGAGAAAAGGCACAAACACAAAACATTCTTTAGAACTGCAGGGCAAAGATTTGTTTACTCCATACTGGATTGTCCTTTTTCTGGCAAGGGCTGGCCTTCATTTTGAATCCCACGCTAATAGCTGCTGATTTTTGTTGTGTCCCTACTGGAACTAGGCTTAATTTCTTTTGTTAATAAAAGGAGTTTCATCTATGTTTCATGCTGCTTAGTTGTGATAAAGTCTGGTCACTTCTTGCTTTATTTTAACGTATTAGCAGGTTATCTATTAAGGCTTTATGGGGTTAAAATAAATCTAGATGTGTTTACACAGCATCTGCTTTAATGCAGTAGGCACAGCTGTTTTTGGATGTATTCTGGCTAGATTCCAACACAGGCAGTCACATTTTCCCTGTTTCTGAACTCCTTTGTAGCTTAAGTTGTCAGCCAAGAACATGAGTATTGCAATTAGGCTGCTATACCTGTTTATTTCAAAAAAAAATGATCTATTAAGGGTCCTATTGCTGTGAAAAGAAATTTTAAAAATCAGGTTTTTATTAATTCATCTGGAATTGTGTTTCATTCTATTAGCTTTTGAATGTTTAGGATTCAGTTTCAATTCTTTCAAGTGATAGAAGCTAAAAGCTTTAAGGTGATCTGCAAGAGTGGTTTATTTGTGTAAGACGAAGCATTCAGGCTTTTATTTGTGGAGGATCAAACATCATAAAGCTTAGGATATAATTGTGACAGCTGGCAGGATGGCAATAGCCAGTGGCCAGTTGAGAGTAGGACGTAGGTAGAGAAAAAGGGCAGGCTGAGGTAACATCTTTCTGAAAGAAAGAGGCCTGCAGGTTGGCCCCAGAAAAATTTGATTCTAAGGGGGAACAACAATTATCTCTGTATTTTTAATTAGACATTAACAGAATTCCATTATTGCTTCTTCTGACAAGGGGAACATAGATAGTCATGCATCAGCAGTCGGGTGCATTGTATCTTTAAAACTTTGAGGTGCTCCTGCTTGTTGGAGGTGATGACATTTTGTGTTGGTTTTCCTGTTAGTTTATCCTGTAGACTTTGTTTATTATGTCAGAACTAGCTTGGACAGCAAAGTACAGGATTGTTTTTGCATGTGGAAAAGTTGTGACTTTTATTTGAACTGTCCCATATGGGATAACTGTAGAATTTGAGTACTGTGTACCTTTTGTAGCTAGTTGCCAGGCAGGGATTGACCAACAGGGATTAAAGCAGCTGTAGCCTTTGAATAAAATTGCTTGCAGTAGTATTTGCGGTTCTGTGTCACCTGGGGCATTTCTGACATTGTTGGAAGCTTCTGTTTGGAGCTATATGCTGTCTAGGCTTGTCAACGATTGTCAAGGTTATTGTCTCTTTTTCTCAGGTAATGCAGTAATGTGGCCGACAAGAGTCCAGCAATGCCAGCTCTGGATATTTCGTTGCATATCTTGATGTCTTCCTTGCAGATCCAGTACATGGAGTTACCTGAAGGCAGGAGGTTCAGCTTTCCTTTTGAAAGTAGGGTTCTGTTCCTCACAGTTTCAAATGAACTGCTGATGAAAGAGGACTCTCAAAACGGAAGGCAAATAAAAAGAAGAACCCAAACTTAAGTTTTAAAGCTGTTGTCATAATCTTGGAGATGTCTTTCATACTATTTTTTAAGTAGGGTGAAAATGCTGACAGCTGTTTGTAGTTGCTGATCCAGAATCTATAGATCAGTGATCTTTGTATTTCAATATTTTATGCTTCACAGGGGATAGAATCAATAGAGGGAAAAAGAATCTGTTTTCTAGATAAAACAACATCATCATTTAAGTTGTTATGCAATGACTTCTCCAGTATCCACATGATTAACAACACAAGTTTTCCTTGTAATGCATCCAACTATATTTGTGTTCCTTCAACAGCTTTTCTATTGCAAAACTGTTCCTTCCTGGGAATTTTAAGAAGGTATCTAAATTGCATGACATTTGTTCAATGCAAAAATAGAGAAACCTGAGCTGCCATTGTATTTGGTTAAATTCATATCTTATTCATATAAATTCGTATCCTAAGTAATAGCATTCTCAAATCTCAGGGATCTGATTAACTCTGCTTATAGCCAGAACTAGCTGATAATTGTATCTAAGTTCAAACTTTCTTTTGTCAAAAAAATATTTCTGAACTGTTTCAAACTTCAGTTCTAAAGGAAATAATTTTGGTTTAGAGTTAGGAACTTACTAAAAGGAATACCTAAGTGATCTGTCTCACTTTTGATATGCTGCCTACAGCTAAAATACAACTACTTATAAGGGCTCCACCCCTTCAGTAACTTAAGGCACAATTTAGAGCCAATGTGTGCTTGCACACAGACTACAGGAGCTAGAAACAATTCCAAGTTATGCATGTGCATATGCATGCTTAGAACTCTGGCTTTCCTAAGCAAAAGAAAACTCTTGTGAAGAAACTTGGAGGCTGAGGGGGTTAAATGAAACCCAACTCCTTTTCCTGTGTTGTAAGGCTTAGTAACCAAACAGAAGCTGGAGAGAAGAGCGGGTTAGGAGCCACTGTTTGAACCTGAACGATAGTAAAGTGATTTTTGCTGCTTGTCTACAGAGTGGCATCAGTGCCTTCAGCTTTTACACTCACCTTTCACAGGTACACGCAGAAGGTAAGAGTTGTTTTTGTGTCCTGGGCTGTCTCCTTATGCTTCCGTATGGACATCTATTTTCTTTCAATGCTGGGTTTGGGCTTTTTTTTGTTTGTTTGCATTAAGTTACCTTTGATTTTCCACTGTTGTTTTTCTTTAGTTCAAAGAACACAGGAGAGAAGAGTTACCACATTGCATGCACTGCAAAATTGGATTTCCTGGTAGGGAGGGAAGAAAACATTTAATGTGGTTGGTGAACATTAATCCCTTTCCCTCACAGTTAATTACACTATAACTTAATGTAATCAAAACTGTTCCTGACACTGTGAGTGAGGAGAAACAAAAGGGTGGAAGGGTCAAATGTATGTGCATCACCAGGAAAAAAACACAGAAACCAAGACACACGTAGCAGGGGTACTGACTGGAGAAACATGTTTTTTTCTGGTAGAAATTAAAAAAACCCTGCCCAGGTGTTAGGACTCTTAAATTTGCTAACCACAATCCCTGGCGTGCTCAGCTGCTTCTATTAATGTTCGAGCAGGGGAGGGAGAGTCTCCTGATCAGTCTGCATTGCTTTCAGCTGTGTGAGGCAGGATCCATTTTGGAGTCTGATTCCAACTTGAACAGTGGTGCTTGAATCAGCAGACGTGCTTGTGAAAGGGTGGTTTGCAGGATGGGATCTCAACCTAGAGGAGGTCTGATGTGCGAGGGAGGCCAAGAAGCTTCTAAGGGAACTGTGCTGGTGAGGAGATGGTAATGGAATGGTGGCAACATGGTAGGGCAGTCTGATGTCTTGGTGTTCCTTGTGGATGGTTGGATGGAGGAATGTTTGCTTAATAACTAAGTTTCAAAGCTGTGATAAAGTTAACGATCTTGAATGGAGTTCCTGTTGTTAGAAATAACTAAGCTTAGTACAAGAGATCAAGGAGATTTTAAGTTTTGTTAAGTCTGTCTGCAGGGACCCTAAAGAACACCTTATTTATTACTTTTAGAAGAGTCTTCACAAGGCTTAAAAGTTTCTCTTATGCTTGCTTTATTGCACTTAAAATGGCTCTTCACCAGCTTTTCTGTGACTTACAGGTTTTTTTTCCCGGTCTCTTAAAGACACATCATCATCTTCTGTAGTGCCAGAGCCAGGGTCTGTAAATGGAGCAGCTGTGAAAAATCATTCTTTCTCAGGTGCACTTCGTGGGTGAGTTGGTGTGCTGCACAGCCATGTGTGTTGGACAGCCTCACCCTTGGGCTTTTAGGATTAATGCTCTGCTGTTAAAAGGAGTGAAGAGAAGCGTGTGATGTGCAACAGAAGTAGGTAGGACTATGTATCTTTGGCATGTCATTAGCTTGAATTAGTGTTTTTTGAGGTTAGTGAAACAGAACAATTAATGCAAAAATTAAAAGCATAAAGTAAACTTGAGGTCTCCAGAAGTTTTGCTTTTAGTGTATTTTCTTTATCTGTGTGAGATAATTTAGACTTCAAGTGTACTTCTGGGTTCTCACGCACCAGAGAGCATCCTGGCACCTCAGAGGTGTTTTTGAAATATTTTCTATCATGAATGTAAACACTTGATGGTTTAGGGAAATGCTGCTCTGTAGCATGTGCATATTCCAAATCTCTAGTGAACTGTCTACTCTGAATGTAGCTTTGGACAAAAGGATTTTGACAAATGACTTGAAGGGTTGTTTGAGAAAAGGTATAGGTTTTTCTTTGCTATCCTCTCTCTCTCTCTCTCTTTATGATATTAAGAATAAAACAAATTAATTGGCTTTAATTTTAAGGGATACAAGCAATCATGGTTGTAGAATGAATTATCTTAAATGCTGGTCTTCGATAAGTGATAATCTTCTGATGCAAATCCTGTATCTCTGTTTTGGGGATGGAGTTCTTTCTCTGGTCCTGCTTGGTAAAATGTCTTGTTGCTTAAGGAATTACTTGCCTTACAAAGTTGGCACCAGGATTTGATTGGAGTCGATGTGAAAGACTGTGCTGAAAGGATTCAGGAAACGGGAAAAGAGGTGTCTTGTTGGTTCTACCAAGAAAAATGGTTGCAAGCTTACATGTGAGCAAATCTTTTTTTGAAAAAACTTTTTTTTTTTTTTTTTTTTTAGACAGTAGAGAAATTGCAAATATATATATATACACATATATATATATGTATACATATATATACATGTCCAGTCTTGATTCAGATGTCCTTCTGACTGTGATATATATGTAAGACAAACTAATGTTCTGTGCCCTGAAACAGGTAGGGTTTAGGCTGCCAAAAGGCTTTCTTATTGTTCAGAGCATTGTTAAATGCTAATAAAATGTTAACCATTTTATGATATCATGTATGCACTTTATGACTCACCAGTACACAGGAAAAAAAAAAAGCTTTTTTTTTTTTTTTTTTTGGTAAGAGGATGAAATATGCTATTTTTGTGTAAGAACAACATGTAGAACACATTGGATATAATTACAGGTGTTCTCACAATTGATATTAGAGCCTCGTCCTTAGCTGATACAAGGAGGAATTGTTCTTCTGGTGTACTAATGCTGAGTGAAGTACTGAAAAAATATGCTGGTTTCCGTTTAGATCTCTGAGAAGCATTAAAACTGATGATAAACTCCTTACAGTACCCACCATAGCTGCAAAGACTAGACATTTGGATGACTGACAGATGGTTGCTCTGATCCAGCACAGTCGTTTGCAGTTATGCCCATGGTATGATGGACTTGTCAGAAGAGCTTATCTCACTGGAAATTATACTCTGCTGAATGCAGTTTCACTGTCTTATTTTTTAACCTTACTATTGGCTTTGAAATAGGATTTGTTGTGCTCCAGTATCTTTTCCTGGATGATGACTAACAGAAGTTACTAGATGTGTGAGGAGAGACCTTAACATTAAAGATTTGATTGGTTAAGTAGTCATATGCATAGTCTCCATACATGTTCATGCTTCCCTACACACTAACAAGCTCAAGTTTTCCTGACATACAGATACGATGTATGGAAATAAGTACTGTCAAAAGATTGTTTATTTCTCTGCTTAACTCTTAAAGAAGTAACTAAAGGTTTTGCTTTTGGCATCTGTGGGAGAAAACTGTCTTAGAGCAAGGAGCCAATCTATATTTAAATCCCACTGTTGTAAGTTTGCTGTGATCACACAGCTGAGAACGTGCTTCTTTTTAGATCTCTCCAGGCGCTGCCATGCGATCACATTCTCCTAAGATCTTTTTTACAAAGTTAATTTTTGGTGACAGATGAAAGATGCTTGGCTGGTGTCCTTAGAGACTCTGGCCCTATTTCCACTAGCTGAGGTTCTGCCTCCTAAGTTAGCTGAAGTTGTGGTGTTTGATTTTTATTTTTTTAATTCTTATTTTTCCCTATCTTTTGTTTCTACTTCTGTTGATCAGCTTTGTGTTACATAGCAATGGAAATAAGCCCACTAATTTCTCTGAAGAATTTCCTGCTTCATGTCACCAGAGGTATGTCAGCATCATAGTCTGCAAGGGTAGCTGCTTAGGGAATAGATGTACCCACACTAGTTGGTTGTGCTTGGCCTATTTGCACCTATATGTAGGTAAAACTTAATTATTTTTTTTTAAGTAATTATTTTAGATGTGAAAGTAGCAGCAGTTGAAACCTGTGTGAGAGTCAGGGTAAATATTTTTGGTTTTCTATCAACATTGTTGTTTGTCATCAAACAATTTAGATGTGACATGAGTGTTTAGCAAGTACACTGTTGAATGTAGTGTTAATATCCTTTCAGAGAGGAGATGTAGATCCTGCAAAGACACAAAATAATTTGTATTTTTTTTAAAGTTTCCTTTTAAGATAGCACTCACTTTTTTTAAACCTTTTACACAGATCAGAATTACTACATTTATGTTTAGGATGAAATGAAGTTAAATAAAATTGGAAGTTGTTCTCCAGAATCCCTTATCTTACTAAAGGATTCTTCAGTGTCAGGTAATATTTCAAATCAGGCTAAATAATTCATTTAAGTGAAGTCTGTGCTACTGAGGGCATCAGTTGACCTAAAAGGTTGTTAGCCATTCCTCTACGATTGTTGATGTTTGGGATATTATATCCTTGTTGTGCATTTTCCATTAGAAGTGTGTGACTGCTTGTTGTAATATTTATTGTCTAAAATAGTCTGCATGCTCTTGTCTTTATCCCTATGTGCTCACATACTTAATTAACAACTAAGGACAGTGAGACTACCAAGTAGAAGGCAGAAACCTATCTTCTCATAATGAATTTCTAGCTGCAAACCCAATAGTGGAAGGCTGGATGCAGAAAATTGAATCTCATCTGATATTAATAGGTAGAAAGATGGCTGTCCTCATGAAGCACTATATAATCTCCTGCAGTGTGGAGATTGGGAAGGAAGCAAATCAACCTCTTCCCCAGTAGGGTATGGTGTGATGTCTTCCTAGGCTTCCTGTGTGTTACACATTCTAGTCTTGCTCTTCCACCCAGTGGTTTTTCAGCTTATGTTTTGTGTGATTGCTGTATTGAGTATAGAACTGTATGAGATGGGCTGCTATAGCTTACGCAGATGGTGCTGAATTTGATGTTGCTATATGTTGGCAGTGTTTTTACAAAGGACTTCAGAGTCAGCAATGTTAAGCAATGCTCCAGTTCAGGTTTTGTGTGTGCTATGAATCAGGCGGAAGGCTGAGTTGAAAGGCTGTTGATATAGCATTCTGGAAGAAGCTCATATGTTGCTATTATTCAGCTGGTGCTCTCTTGCTGTGCTCATTAGCACGTTTTTCTTAACTTTTTAACTTAACAAAGGTACATTTTTAGAGTTATTCAGCTGAAAAATTAAAGTGCATATTATTGCTGAAAGTGCATCTTTTCAGGATTGCTTTTTGATGAGGTTTCTTTACTCCTAGCATGTATGTAGAATGAATTAATAAATCTGTATCAGTGATAAAAATACCTCTGTAAAACTTTTACTCTATTTGTGTTTTTTTTGTTTACCTTCTTCTCCCTCCCTCCCTTCTTATTTCACTAAGTGCTTTCAACTAGTCTCATATTTAAATACACATTTAATAAACGTTTATCCACTGCTTTGTATACAAACAGCTCTTTATAAATGTGGCTTGTTGTGTGGTCAAGACAAAGGAAATTTAGCATCCTCTCACTTTAACAAGCATATGCACATGAATAGTCCAATCCACCCAACCCAAAGGGCATCTGGCCCTGATTTTCTTTTTGAAAA